GTTTAATCACCCCTCTCCCAACATCATATGCTTATAGTGATTCTCAGTGAAACCCACTATCCAGAATTGCTGTAACAATGTGCTGAATGAATATAAAAGAAGATTAACAGCACTAAAGTATGATTTGAAAAAGAAACATAAAACTTGAATTATAGATATATATCTGAAAATTACTAAGCATACTTGATAAATATTTAACAAAATTAATTTAAAAAGACTTGAAAAAGATATAAATATTACTTTATTTCAAATTGAAAAACTTTTAAATAATAAGTTTGAAAAAATTTTAAAAAGTATTTAATACTTTCATTAGAACTCAAACTTTTTCAAGAATATAATATTACTATTCTCATTAAAAATTTCGTAATTACTTAATTATTGATCAACAAAAATTAAGATATTACAAAGAATATTAATATAACATTATGCAACTCAATAATGATCAAATTAATTTATCTCTTTATTTTTATATTATATTTTATTATATGATTATATTTTATTATTTTTTTGACATTTAAATAATGATATCTAAATAATAATCATATTTTTGTATATTTTTCATTTTATTTTCTTTTACTGTTTCACTAAATTTATTTATTTTTATATTTTTTACTATAAAACTTATATTTTGCTATTGGTTTATCTTATCTATATCTCTATTATACTTATTTTTATCTTTTATTTCATTATTTTTAACCAATTATTTTTATATTTATTTTATTTTATTTTTCATTTTTGTTACAATTATTCTTTTTATTTCTTAATTTTTTTGTTATAATTATTAATAATTATATTTATACTATTATTTTCTTTTTTATAGCACTTTTTTACTCAAACTCTTGCTTTTTCTATCTTTAATCACTAAAATTGCAACTAATTTTCTTTTGTATTTTCTTGTTAATGAATTTGTATAATTTTTTATTTATTTTTTAGTGTTTATATTATTAGTCTTATTTGTAAATTATAATATAATTTAAAATAGTTATTAGTTATATAAATCATATAAAAGATTAAAAATAAATAAAAAAAGAGTCTCTTGTTACTAAAAACTCTCATGCTCTAATTCTTTGATTTAATAAAATAACAAAGTTCATGCTAGTAATATTTTACTTGTAAATATATTATTATTTTTGTGAATTATTTTCAAATTTTGTAATTATAAGTAATGAATGCTTCTTCATTTTAAATAAGTTATTGATATTATTACTTTTGTTTAATTTAGTTTTATTACTTTTAAATTATTTCAATAAGTTCTGTTTGATTATTTTTAGTTATTTTTATTTATATTTCATAATTAATACTTTCAATAAGTTCAATTATTATTTTATTTTATTAGGTATTATTAATAAGTTTTATTATTTACTTTGAAACTATTTGTTAATTTCTTTAATTTTTTTGTATTTTCACTTTATTTTTTATCTATTTTTATTTTTTATTGATAATAATTAGTTATTTTATATACAAGCTACTATAAGAGATCTTTAGAATTTTTAGTGAACTCAATTAATTGTAAATTATTCAGTTTTTGTTCTTTTATGTTATATTATTTTGTTGGTTTATTTATTTTAACAATTTTTAAATTAATAAGAACAGTATAAAAAATATAAAAAAATAAATATCAATATAAATAGATAAAATATAATAAATAAATTAATAAAAATAAAAGATAATTATATAACTATTTATAGATTATTATTATTTTTTTAATATTTTTGAGATTTTAATTTTCTACTATTTTTTAATTAACAAATTTTTACTAAAATTCATAACAATACAAAATAAGAGTTTTTATTAGATTAGATTAATTTATATTAAAATTTATCATATACTATAAGATAATAAATATATTATAACTGTATCAAATAAAGATAAAAAAGATATAAATAAATAGAAAAGAGTTCAAAAAAATATTATATAAAGTATAAAGAAATTAAAATAAATATAAAAAGGTAAAATAAAAAGTAAAAAAAAATAGAAAAGAATTAAAAAAGATTAAATAATTATAAAAAGATTAATATTAAATTAATAAAAAATAATAAGTAATTTGATAAAAATAAAAGATAATCATATAATTATTTTTGAGATTTTTGATTTTTCTATTATTTTTAATATACTCTTTAATTAATGAATTTTTATTAAAATTCATAATAGTACTATTTTTCTTTCATTGAAATTTAAATTTATTTTCATGTTTAACATGTTTTTTCATATTGTAAACAGGAATTTTGTCTTCAATTTTGAATTGTTGTATTTTTTTAACTTTCTATTATGTTATTTCTTTGATTTTTCTTGTGAAAAATTAATATTCTGCTTGGTATTGTTGATTTATTCAGATAAATAATTAATTAAAGTAAATATTTTATTAAAGAATTGTTTTTTTAAATTTGGCTCATTTAATATTAGCAGAGCAAGTATCAAAGATGCTAAAAAAAATACATGAGCTATGCTGTGAGGAGTTCAAAAAATTATTATATAATGCTTTCAAATTCAATGTCAAATTAATTGAACTCAATAAAAAACTGCAAACTTATAGAAATGAGTCTGAAAACTTCTATAAAAGATTACCAATATTAATATAGAAAAAGTGAAAATAAATTAGTTAGAATTTAAAATTCTTTCTAATTCACATTCAGCTTCTTCTGTTTCTTTGTGATCTTGTTCAATTAAAGTATACAGGTCATTCTTTCCTTCTACTTTTTTTGTTGAAATATTGGCTGTATCAGTCCCATTGATATATTATGTGAGTTAGAAATTTGAACAGTCTTAGATCTCAGTTTCCTTTTCTTTATTTATCTATCTGAAGTGATAATAGAATTTAGATGTGAAGTATTTGTGTTGATTTGATTAGAATTTTCAGTTATGCTGGCTTCATCAATATTTGGTAACTGTGATTTACTAATGAATTGGATATAGGCTGATACCACAAATTCATACAAACTTCTTCCACTCTCCAGATTCGATAAAAACGATTATTTGTCATAGGGTATTTTCCTCTTTAACATCTCCAAAATTTTGGTTTTGGGTTTGCATCACGATATTGCATAATAAATTCATAATCTATTGGAATAATGGAGTTGCATCAGATCGCATACGTTCTCTAACCATAATAATTTTTATACTATATGTAATATTCGTAATATCAATAAAAATATATTAGTATCGGTAATTAATATTTATAGTATGGTGCATACCATCTAAAGTCATCAAATGTTTGTATTTTATAAAATGGATAAACTTCTTTACTAAGAAGTAAATACAAAATTTAATAGTAAAGAAGTTTATCCGTTTTATAAAATACAAACTTTTGATGACTTTAGATGGCATGCACCATATATTCAAATATTTATTATATAGGATCAAAAACGTAACTGGTGTAACGATAATGTTTCATCTCGATAACGACGCGAAAAAAAATATGTAGATCGAACTTTGCATTAATAGGCGAACGGGGGTGTTACCGTTACCGTTACCATATGAAATTTGTAATTTGTTTTATGACATGATAAAAACGTGGCTGTTTAACTCTTCCTGAGAATGACAGATGTGATACGAGAATTATCAATCAAAGCCTATGATCAATTTTTTCCTTTTAGTTTCGCGAATCCCATAATTGTTACTAGAAATTATTAGTATCAATATAATGACACCACCATTAGCAGAAACACACGATACACAGTTCGAATCCCTAACTAATGAAGAGTTTCTGCGACGCGTGAAAGAAGGGCAGTCGTTAATAATATACGACAGAAAAGTATATAAACTGGACAATTGGATAAAATTTCACCCCGGTGGTGCATTAGCAATACACCATTTAGTAGGCAAAGATGCGACAGACGAAATAAATGCATTTCATCCGGCCTATGTCTACGAAAATAAAATACATAGTTTCTACGTAGGTGAATATGCGGACGACTCTGACTTCATTGTGCCATCGTCAACAAATGAGGAACGAAAAAAAATTTTGAATGCGTATCGACGACTCGAGTTAACGATCAGAGCGAATAAATTGTATGATTGTAATTACATCAATTACGGATACGAATGTATTCGATATTTGTTACTTATTACAATCTCGTGGATTTTGGTTTTACATGGTACAACGACATTACATTACTTGTTAAGTGCAGTTTTTCTCGGCGCTTTTTGGCATCAACTCGCATTCACGGCTCATGATGCTGGTCACAATGGGATCACACATATTCTGCTGGTTGATAATCTAATTGGAATTCTTATCGCGAGTTATTGTGGGGGATTGAGTATTGGTTGGTGGAAGAAAAATCATTATGTCCATCATATTGTTACTAATGATCCCAACCATGATCCGGATATTCAGCACTTGCCATTCTTTGCGGTATCCACAAAATTTTTCGAGAACCTGCACTCCTCATTTTATAAACGAACTTTACAATTTGACGCATTCGCACGATTTTTTATACCCATGCAACATTATCTTTATTATCCGGTGCTTTGTTTCGGTCGATTCAATTTATACTTTCTCTCCATCAGTTATCTATGTTTTGATGAACGCGTACCATTTCGCAAATTGGAATTGACCGGGATGTTATTCTTTTGGACATGGTTCATATACATGCTATCGTTTCTTCCCTCGTGGAAAATAATCATAGCATTCTTTCTGATCTCACACATGGTCACTGTGATACTACACGTGCAAATCACCTTATCTCATTTTGGCATGTCGACAGAACTCCTCGGACCAGATGAACCATTTCCGGAAAAAATGTTACGTACAAGTATGGATGTTGACTGTCCATGGTGGATGGACTGGTTTCACGGTGGCTTACAATTCCAGGCTATACATCACCTTTTTCCGCGGATCCCTCGACATAATTTACGTGCTTGCCAACCATTCGTAAAGAAATTCTGCGAGGAGACTGGACTTCAATATCATATTTATGGGTTTGTAGAGGGGAATGGGGTTGTGCTTAGTGCATTGAAAGATGTCGCGAATCAGATCGAGTTACTATCACGGGTAGCAGCGGCTCATGGTGATCGAAATTTTGTTTCATGATTGGTATTTATTTGTTTGATGTTCGTAGAGTTGATGGTGGATGATTAAATGGATGGAATGTGTATCACTGTGTGTTGGATTATCTCTATGTATCTAGTTAACATGAAAACAAAAAATAATTTAATCTTTTGATCCTTATAAATTATTTATTTATTTCTTAGAATAAAATCTTCATGACAAAATGAAGCTGGTGATCAAAAATTTTATCACGCATTAAAGGATTAATTGATCGATCGATGTATATTCTATTGATCTTGTTATGTTTGATACGTGATTCCCATAAAAGAATATTATCCTCAATTTCTTCTTATGCATTGATAGAATGAAAAGAAAAATTTATCCATACAAGAAAAAATAAATATATAAAAGAAAATGTAATGTACTATTTACACTAAGGTTCATCCCACTGATTCTCTTTGGATATCATTGCCTTCTCTACAATATACTTATTCTCTTTGTACTTTTGACTTTTCTCGAATGCAAATACCTAATTTTAAAATGGATCTATTAATATAATTAATATAACCTCTATATATATATAGATATATATATCGACTTACATATTTCCAACCAACTACATTTGAGCAAACATCACATCGGATGTCCTTGACGGAGTGTACACCGGTAATCAGTACTCTATCTTCTTTTGGACCTAGTGATACGTTTGTTCTAAAATCGTATTATAAGAAAGGCTTTATTATTATAAGGTAACTAAATTTCATGAAAACACATGTGATTTATTAATTACACTCTGCTAAATAAATATGCACGTCCATGGCGTCCTTGAAATGCCTAAACCAACTCATGAGCACGAAATATTAATCGTATTCTCTAGTTAGTGAATTTTAAAGAGTCTTCTAATGAGATAAATAAAACTTATATACCTTTGATATTAGATCTTCATGTCTGGCCAAATGAGTATGACAAGTTGTACATGTGTAAATACGGTCAGAGGAAAGGAAATTTTGATGAGTTTTATGAGTTTTAGACATTTTCTTGTTGAAAGATGATGTCTCATGCAGTCGATCATAAATATACATCGTCAGATGTAATCTACCTCCGTAGATCATGTGTAATGTACCAAAATTTTCCGAACACAAAGAACATTACAAATGCTGATCATTGATACCTTTTATAGATTGGTAGAGCTTCTTTATCAGGTATTGTATGTTCATAAACTTGCATGTCCCAATTATAACATCTCAATATCCGATAATCTAATTCTTGACGTCCAGTGATCCGATTCGAACAAAAAATACTACCATTCGATTCGCCTAGTCGAGATGAATCGAATGGTAGTATTTTTGTTCGAATCGGATCACTGGACGTCGAAATCTTGCGTCTTAAAGTAGCAGATTCATTAACAAAAATTAATCAGCCAATTTAGGATGTAATATCCCGATCTCCAGTATCATTAGACTTGTCTAAAGACGAATCGAATGATATTATTTTTGTTCGAATCGGATCACTGGACGTCAAGAATTAGATTATTGGATATTGAGATGTTATAATTGATTATATTTGGAACATGCAAGTTTATACCCGATAAAGAAGCTCTACAAATCTATAAAAGGTATCAATGATCAGCATTTGTAATGTTCTTTGTGTTCGGAAATTTTTGGTACATTACACATGATCTACGGAGGTAGATTACATCTGACGAGCACTGTATCATTAATTTCCTGTAACTGATACTGTTTTGCAATTAACATGGAGCTTCAAGGTTCTTGTCATTGTGAGAAAGTCAAATTCAAGGTACTTAATAACTCGTGAAATAAATTTCTCAGAGGAAATATCGCGTCAAATAATCCGGTTATTATATTGAATATGTATGCATAGGTGAAGTCTAACACACCCGTCCCTTTCATGTACTGCTACTGGTATGTTTCCATGTGCACATGGCTATTGTTAATAAAGTAATAAATAAAAATCAATTGGGAAAATTGTATGTACATAAATATTCTTATATAGCTCAATTTGTCGTAAATTGGCTGGCGGTGGTGGATATTCAATCAATATCATGGGTCAGGCATGTATTTTCCTCGGTGAAAATATGTTCTACCGAATTTTTAGTAATAATTCTGTTTATTAGAAAGATTCATTGGAAGTTCAAGGAATGGAATATGTAAAGTTAGTAAAAAAACCTACTATATATTTTCTGAGTTTATTTATCCCTAGATTTTTTATATAGAATATATCGAGGGATCCATGAAAAGAATGTCCCCAAAGAGCAACAAGATGAATGGTATTTAGACATATACGATATGTTATTATATATGTTAAGCTATAGAGTGATCCTTATGAAGAATATATATGTATTAATAGTGGAAACCGTAGACATTTCTGTGGCGAATGTTCTGCGATGCTTTGGGCCTATGATCCACAGTGGTCCCAATGGGTCAGTAATATTTTTTTTCATTTATATATAACATTATTTTACAGATTAATATATTTTATCTATTCGTAAAAAGTGCTATCCATTCGCCTCAGCGATTGACACCGAACTTCCAGTGGCTAAACGTCCCGTCTGCATCATGCTCAAGTACAAGGCGAAATGGGCTCCGGTGCCAACTGAAGCAGATGCCTTTGACGAGTATCCAGATAAGTCGATCGAAGATTGGCATAAACATAATAAACTCTGGCAAGAATAAAATTTGAACTAAGATATGAAAGATGATTCAAACAAAAAGATGAAATATTAAGACGGGTTTTTCATGTCTGCTGTTGTGTGTAACATTCAAGTTGAATATAAATATAATAAACAAATTTAAAATAAATATTGTTGATTCAAAAATTTAACCATGGTTCTATCAAATATTCTCTTTAAAAAAATAATCCAATTCCACAAATATCTCTTTATAATTTTTTGTGCAAAGTTAATATAAATAAATTATTAATAATTTTATTAAATATAATTAATTAAATCAAAAGACAACATATTATTTTCTTTATTAAAAAACATTTCAAAAAAAATTTTTTAAATCAAAAAATATTTGTTTATATACCAATACAAAATAATTTTCTTTAAAAAACATTTCAAAAAAAATTTTTTAAATCAAAAAATATTTGTTTATATACCAATACAAAATAATTAATATTTGAAAATTTCTTTATAATTACTCTTTTTATAATTATATTATATAAAAATCTTATTATAATTATTCTTTTTCAAGAATTAATTATAATAAAACATCTTGCTATAAGTATATTTATTGTAAAATTTCGTTATAATTATATTTATGAAAAGAATTATTATTTGATCAAACAGTATAATTATGAAGAAATTTGATTATATATAACCCATGCAAAATTTTAATTGTAAATTTATTTCAATATAATTATTTTTTTCTTGATTAATTCTGTTTAGTTATACATATTATAAACAAGAATATCAACATTTAAATTGCATATATATAAAAATTATATGATTTTAGAGTGTTAAATTTAAAAGTATTGAATTTGTATTTTTATAAAAAATTATAGAATATATATTAAATTTATTATTACTTAAACTATAATTTAGACAAATTTGCTCAAAAATTTTTAATTTTATATATAAGTTCTTTAAATTATTTAAAAAATTATCAAATTATTAAGTTTCCAATAACTTAAAATTCTAATAATTTTTAATACTTAATATTTTTAACAAAAATACAGCAAATCAAATAATATATTAAAAAATTTGTTCAGAATTTGGATTTTTTCAATAATTGAATAACAATTAGCTCTTTTACAAAGAACAATTTTTAATATACGTATGAAACAAACATTTATTAATTTATCTCTGAGGCAACATTTCAAGTCGTTTATCGATATTTTTATCAAAAAGTCAAAACTATATTAAAAAATTCTGTTTGTTCATATTGATGATCTCAACCATCATATTGATAACTAACTAAAATCTAAATGTACCAAAAAAAAACTGCTAATAAAATTTCCTCGATGTAACGAGTTTTATAATAAATTCTCGATATAACGATATTTGCACTAATTAGCCCGACCATATCGATATTGTTATGTTGTATCCCAATTTAATTTTCAAGATCAAACCTCTTTGCAACGCACTTCCTAATTTTCCCCAGGTTTCTGATTGGATGCAAGTAATTTCTATCGCTGATTGGTTGACTGCACACCGGGTTTTCTAAATCAACAAATAAAAATGCAAAACAAATCCGGCACAAGAAAATTAAAAAGGTGAATAATGTGAAAAATACGGAAAACGAATGGGTAAACCTGGCTCGAAGCACTAATAAAATATTTCGGGAAGACAATTTTATATATAGCTTTTACTCCAGCTCTAACCCTATGAAATTAACCTTTAATATCCTCAACCAATCAGAAACCTGGGGTAAAATTAGTAAACGCCTTTGGAACGTGATGATTGTGTAACCAACAAGTTTGCACTCTCACGTGATAAATTTATTTAGATGTTGCACCAACCTGGATACTTGTCTTGAAGTTTTATGTAAGACTGCCCCCGCCCCGCGTTGCATGAGTAACATGGAATCTCAAGGCCAGAAAACCACAATAACAACCGGAAACACTCAACCTCAATCAATGACAGAAGGTTCTCTAATTACTAACCAACCCATTATCATTGACCTTGACCCTGAACCCTCGTCAGGAAATGAAGGCAACACCAGAAATACATTAAATATTAATACTATTAACAGTCATAATAAAAATAATCTTAAAAATAATCTTGATAACAATAACAATAACATAACAGCAAGCTCAACCGAAATAACCGTCATTGATTTGGAAGCAGAGGATGATAGTAATAATATGGATATTGTTCAAAGTCAACTTTCACAACCACAGCAACCTAATAATTTAATTTCAATGTCAATGTCAATTACACAAAATGAAAAAGATGATCAAAATGCATTTGTCCAAGCCCCACCTCAACCTCAAGTTCAACCTCAAACTCCACCCCAAGCTCAACCAAAGTCGTATACTCCGGAAGCGCAGCATACTGTGTCACCCCGTGTTTTTCCGAATTATATACCGTCTAAATCGACTACACCAACTCCATCGACGCCAACAAATACTTCGAGAGTTGAAAACTTGAGTATTACTGATAATAGTAATAATAGTACCCCTGAGCAACTAAAAACTGTACCGGGAGAAAAGAGACATGTTCAAGTAGCCCGATCATATGAAAATATAGCGAAGAAACAAAATTGGGTGAATGCTAATGGGTTATTCTTTCCGATCAGTGTTGATTCATTATGTAGTTTCATAAGACATAAAGCGGATACAAGTACCATAAAGAGTATAGATTGGTACGTTGGGGCGCTAAAAAAGTATCATATCACTGAATTAGGCATTAAAGATTGGGATGATGTTCGTAAACATCCAAAAGTAAGAAGTGTTTTAGCAGAAATTGAGGAAGAAGCTTCAGCCAAAGTCAGGAAAGATAGAACTCATGGCGAAGCAGATATGTCGGTTGGAAATAAAGGCAAGCAAAGCATCGTCTCTAATGATGCTAATGCCTCAATATTAAGCCCTGCTCGCTCTGCACATAATTATCCGTCTATTTATTCATCACCTATTGGGTCTTCCGTCCGCGGCTCTGGTTCAAAAAATGTACAACGGTTAGATCCTACGAATCGACCTGCAGAAGCAATCTTAGCAATGCTGGGTGTAATGGATTCTGCTGATGAAGATACAGAAAAGATGTCTAAATCAAAGTCTCCGAATAACGTCATAAATCTTGGTAAATTTTCAAACCAATTATTGTAGTTTTCAATTTACGATAATTCTGATTAACTATTTCTTGACGATGTATAATTAAGATTCGGATGAGGAATCCGCTATGCCAACCAGGAGAGTCGGGCCAAATTCAATTCTAGCCAATTCGCATTTAGTGTCTTTAAGAAGGCGGCGTAGAAATTTACAATACACTGAACCCGAAGATGAAGACGACGACGACGACGATTATTTACCGCCTAGAGGTATTTATTATAATTTATGCTAGAAAATATTAGTCGTTTCTATATTAATTTTTATATTAATTAATTAATTAGGATCAAATAATGGGGTGCCATATGTTCAAACAAAAAGTTTGTTGTGATTTTGTGGAAAAACTTTTTACTTTCTTAAAATATTGGTTTAATTAATGTTTATAATGTGATGTGATCAAATAATATAATAGAACGAAGAAAGCGAGATCTGGAAATGAACATGCCACATGTAGATCCCGTACGTATTTTTTTTAAATAATTTATTACCTATTACGAGATTGGATACATTCATTATTATTTTTTGCTAGGATGAACCGGAGAGCTTCAAATTTCGATACGACTATGCTATTGCAATACTGAAATCCAAATATACCGGTCAATGTAGCTTACATCCAAAAGGTTGTTTTGAGGTGCAACCGAATTTCCATTTGGAATTGGATGAAAACATGTTTCGACATTGGGCGTCATTAATAGTACGTATTCCTTATTAGGTGTGTAAAGCATGGCATTTAAAACTCGAAAATAATTCCTTTTAATATATTTAGGCTTCTGGTGATGATGTCACAGAAGAGAAGTTACCCGAGTTTCTAGAGATGCCAGAATTCCATCCACAAACAGTCGAAGTAATAAGTATATAATATTGTATAAAAAATTAATCGAGTGTTGAAGTCGATGCACGAAAGTAATATAACCAAAAAGTAACTTTAGTTAAAAGATGAACAAGTGTAATCTTAGAAGATTTTCATTTTTTCATTTTATGAACACATGAATACATGAATACACGAATTAAAAGCTGATATCATTAAGAAGTCTAATAGTTCTAATTTATAATCGAATGAAATTCTATCTTCTAATATTATAATCCATACATATTTCTAGTGTTTTCTCTTGCTAACCGCATAATCTCATCAATTTCGACACCTTTTATTTCTGCAATTTTTTGAGCGATAAACGGAATCATTCCAGAATGACATACGGCCACCTTCTCATTCGATTTTTTATTCCTGTTCAATTTTGAAGGTATCATGTACGGTGCATCAGTTTCTAATAAAAATCTCGACTTTGGTACAACATCTCTCAACACATTTTGAGTATTCTTTGCACTTCCAAATGTCACTACTCCAGTAATTCCAATATACAGATTTGGGAAGAATTCAATCAAGCGTTTTGCGAATTCTGGTGAATCAGTAAAGCAATGGACATGAATTCGCCAATGAGGTGGCACATGTGTTGTTAAAATATCATAGGTATCTTGTTCTGCCTCACGTGTATGAATCACAAGCGGTTTGTCAAGTTCAACAGCTTTTTTCAATTGTCGAATGAAAATTTGTTTTTGCACATCACGCGGCGAATTGTCATAATGATAATCTAATCCAATCTCACCTAATGCCACGGTTTTCGGATGCTGTAGGATAGTGAGCAATAACGATTCTATATGATCATTATAAACCTTCGCATTGTGAGGATGAACTCCAGCCGCAAGATAAATATAAGGTTCGGAAGCTTGTACACGCCAATCCATAAAAGTATTCGGGAAAAGAGTGTCACCAGCGAATGTTTCAGGATCACAGAGAACATTTATACAGAATTCAAGATTTGATGGAAAATGCGTGTTACGTAGTGTCGAATAATCATCAATTCTGAGTGGAGTGGATTGAAGACGCTCTAACACGTAATGAAGGTGTGTGTGAGTATCAACGAAGGGAAGTGAAGTCAACGAGGAAAGAGTCTCGCGAGAAGGAAGAGTAAGTTTTTTCTCGAGAGGTTTTTGTTGAGAACTAGGAACTTGTGAATTAGAAGACATTTCCCGAACTGAAAATAAAGAATGATATAAAAGAGATAATTTTAATTTAAGATAATTTCTATAGTTTTTATTTGGAATAGTGTTGCTTTCTCTTCTAAAAAGATGTAAAGAACAGACGCGAAACATTTATTTATATGGTTGCGGTGTTTCGAGAAATTTTTAAGTACAAACATGATGCCGCAACAATAGTGACTCATTCTTGCTGTAAATTAATTATGCGCAGAACTGTCTTATATATAATTAACTTTTGACTAGTAACACCAATACAATATCGATATCAATTAATAAACAAATAAATTAGCTTAGTATTGCTAGAAGAGCTTTTAAATAAATCGCATCATATTCTGCAAAACAAAACTTGATTTTCATTACGCTTTTGCGGGGACAGGCTATACAGCAGAGAATAAAAGAATGATTATTATATTATGACAATAATAAAGTTTTGAATATAAAATTAATAATAAGTCAGGTCGCGTACAAACCTTTAAATCCCATATTTGATCAGCATACTCTCTTATTGCCCTATAAAATTAAGTATTCCCATTACAAAAAAATTCTCATAAGTAAAACTTATCTAATAGATTAAACGATCCTAATACAATACCTGTCACTAGAGAAAAATCCCATTCTTGCGGTACACAAAATACTCTTTTTACACCATTCGTCTTCATCCTTGTACGCCTCGTCAACCAATTTTTGGGCATCAAGATACGAGCCAAAGTCGTCAGAGAGGAGGTAATAGTCTTTGCCGAAAGTTAGAGTGTTAATTAGAGGTGCGAAAATACGCGAATCTCCGAAGTTTCCAGTTTCGATTGATGTGATGACAGATTGCAGATCAGGGTCCATAGGAACATTGCGATACCTGTATATAAATGAAAATCCCATGATTATTCTATTACATGTGTATCACTATCATTAATCTATTATCATTACCTATGCGCATGTCTCAAATCATCCACTCGATCGGCTAAATGTCCAAACAAAAAGATATTATCATCGCCAATTTCCTCGTTAATCTCAATGTTAGCCCCGTCAACTGTACCAAGAATCAATCCACCATTCAACACAAATTTCATATTGCTGGTGCCTGAAGCTTCAGTACCGGCCGTTGATATATGTTGCGAAATATCCGAAGCGGGAATGATTATTTCGGCAAGCGAAACGTTGTAATCTGGGATGAATACAACCTTATTTTTGGAAATAAGAAAAAGTTTTAATTATGAATTTGTGATACAAAATAATATAGAAATTTTACCTTTAATAAATCTTCGATGCTCTCATCTGCGTTCACTGTTGCCGATACACTATTAATCAATTTAATGACTAATTTGGCAATGTGGTATCCTGGTGCAGCCTTGCCACCAAATATCACAACTCTTGGAACAATGTCTCGTCGTTCTTCGGGTGTCAATGATTTTAGATAATGATATCGATGAATAACACTAATATATTATTATTGTTATTGGATTTATCAAAGTTAGTAAATCTGCGAAGACAATGACATTTCAATTATTAATTTGCCTACCCCAAGATATTCATGAATTGACGCTTGTATTCGTGAATTCGTTTCACTTGCACATCAAACAAAGAATTGGGATTTGCATCGATCCCGGTCTTTGCTTTAATGTATTCTGCCAAACGAACCTATCATTTGCAAAAAAAAATGACCAATTCAAAGATTAGAAAAATTCCAGATTAGATTAATAAATAAATAAAATGTACCTTATTCGAATGTTTGACTGCCTTCCACCGACGTCTGTAATCCTTGCTCTTAGCATGCGGCTCCAAATTCTTTAGTAAACTCAAGTCCTAAATAAAAATATCTTGATAAATAGAGCGTAAAATATTTTTTGAGATTCGATTATTCTTTATTTATATTTACTTTTAGCCATTTTTTATCGCCTAGCGCTTCGGTAATTAAATTGCTTAATTTGGGGTTGGCTTGGTGTAACCATCTATTTCAAAATACAAAACTAGTTAATATTCTAGTCCTTACCAATTCATTTGTAAATTTGAGGTGTATTTTTGCTATACCTGCGTGGAGTTATACCATTCGTTTTATTTTCAAATTTTTTAGGACCATAAAATTTGACAAAATCTTTAAAGATCTAAATAAATGCAATAGAAATTTATTTTCATGAGAAAAATCAAAAATAATCAGAGTTCAAAATTGTTTAGCATTTCCCACCGTTGTCTTGATTAAATTCGAGTGAAGTGCAGCGACACCATTTACTCGATGGGAACCTTTGATTGGAAAAAAACTAAACAATAAACCAGGGTTTTATATGAACACATTAAAAATAGTTTATGCAAAAAAACCTACCAACAATAGCAAGATGTGCCATTCGAACAGATTGTGGTGTAGCCTCTTCAATAATAGATAATTTTGCAAGAATATCACGGTCATTTGGAAATTGTTTTTCAACTTTTTGCAAAAAGAACTACATAAAAGAATTGTATAAATGACCTTTATTATTATGTTGAAATTAATGTGTCATATACAAATAAATAAGATTCTCACTTACCAAATTGATATCGAAAATAATTTGCATATGTCTGGGCAATAAATATTCCACCATAGGCACATGCCATTTTTCCATTGCTTCGGGAAGGACGGTGTGGTTTGTAAAGGCAAAAGTGCGAGTAACAATATCCCAGGCATCATCCCAATCGAGACCCTAAAATTAGTAAACAAGAAACGTGTTAGCAGATACTACTGATATAAAAACTAGTAGACAATTTCGTGTTCGATTTACCTCCTGATCTACTAAAATCCGTTGCAGCTCAACAATTGCAAGCGTTGGATGCGTATCTAATTTCATTTAATTCGAAATATTAACGTGGATACATATTGTAACATATGCACATTCATAGTATTTGATTTACCATTAAGTTGAATTGCGACTTTTTCAGGGAATTGGTCCCACGCCCGATCAGTTTTTTTAAAGCGACGAATAATATCAGCGAGACTTGCATAAACCCAAAAGAATTGTTGTTTCAGACGCAACTCTTTTCCAACCATGTGATTATCGTTCGGATACAAGACTGCAGTAATATTTTCTGCTTTCATTTGTTCATTAACAGCTTGTTCGTATTCACCTGCATTAAAGCGACTAAGATCAAATTGTCTTTTGGGTTTGCTGCTCCAGAGACGAATGTTTATACAATTTTTGGTGCCATAACCTGGAATTGGAACGTCGTAAGCTACTGCTTGAACACCATCACCACCTTCCCATCTATGCCTTGTGCGGCCATTTTCATCGGTATATTTGGAAACGTATCCACCAAATCGAACCTCGATGGCAATATCGAGACGTGGCAATTCCCATGGGTTATCAAAGTTTAGCCAGTAATCAGGTAATTCCATTTGAAAACCATCCTTTAATCTGATAAATGAATAAGATTAGATCTAAATGCAATGTTCTATTAACTTTTGATTGATTAGTTATTATTTACCTCTGTTGGAAAATCCCATAAGTATATCGAAGACCATAACCCCAAGCAGGATAATCCAAGGTAGCCAGCGAGTCCATGTAACAAGCAGCAAGACGCCCAAGACCACCGTTTCCAAGAGCTGCATCAACTTCTTGTTCAAGGACATCTTCCATACGGAAACCAAGCTCCTTGACACCCTCTATTCAAAAAATTGTTATTGTTATCTAGCATATATACAAATATATAATATCATACAAATAATAAGTATAATTACCTCCAAATTGTTCTTTCAGGCCGAGATTGAGTAAAGCATTGTCTAGTGATCTCCCTAGAAGAAATTCCAAAGAGAAATAATAGACACGTTTAGGATCTTTCAACGTGTGAGCCTATTAATATTAAATCACGTGAGATTTATGTCACATAAATATCTTAATAGATGTTGTACAAACACAACATACCTGTTGTGTTGCATTCCATCTTTCAATCAATCTATCCCGAACACTAACGAAAAAATTCAATTTAATCTCTGAGATAATGGATCAAAAGAAATAATTGTAGCACATACGTATGTGCAGTTGCTTGGTATGCACTAAAGTTGTCAACATTTAAGCTCGAACGAGCTAAAGTAGTATTCACGTGACGGACAAAAGACTTTTGAAAGCTTTCTTTGTCTGAATAATTATCAAAGTTTTAAGCATCAATACATTCATTTCAAGAATTAGATAATTCATTATATTAACTCGGAAATACAAACCAACAGACTCCTCACAGCCGTATTTTTCCCATATTGCCAAAGTTTCTTTCGACCACTTAGCTTTTTCTTTCTTCAAATCATGGTGTGCAAAACCGGTAAAAGTACGTTTATGGTGTTTCTCTGTTTCTGCCATATCGTTAGTAATACTTTTTCACACAAATTATTGGGAGAGAGAAAGTTACCAAGGTTTATATAGTGAATTTAAAGAAAATTTCCGATCGATCAATGTATGTATTGCGCGGATCATCTTGTGTTTGATTCTGTGCCTTTATTTTTGTTGATTTGGAGCGATAAACGCCATCGAACTATATATATTTTAATTTGATTAGCAAAAATGGGGGCATTCGGTTGCATCTGAAACTAAAGTATGTGGGCTGATGACAACTTAAATTTGCCCAATTTTGGTAATTTCATCTGGGGTTAAATCAAATTGTGGAATTAAATCCACCCATTTGATAACCAAATTTTCCGTTCTGTAAACACCATAAATGGTTTCGTTATCTGCCGTTTCAACAAAAAATAAATCGTTACTACTGTTAACGTCAATTATAAAAGTCTCATCTGAGTTAAAATTTAAAAATCACATGATCTTCACATTGATTTTCTATAGTTGCCCCAAGGATCTGCAAGGTCATAAATTCCGTTAGACCATTCTTTAAAAGATCATACGAGTCGTCATCATTACATTACCATTACACATTCAGTTGATCCAAAAGTCTATCATCCTGTCAGTCCTTTTTTTTACAGGGTGTCGGGATGTTTTTATTGGGATAAGATTGTGCAACTCGATCTATCACCAACAAGATCTAAAAACATGTGTCAAAAATACGCGTAGATTCATTTGTATAGGTACAGAACCAGACAGCAAAAGTTTTAAATGATGTCACAAAAAGTGTTATAACTTCAAAAGGAAAGACAATATAAAAAAATCCTCTTACAGATTTGATAAAGCTAAAACACTTTTTAATTTTCTTTTTCGTGAAATTACAATTTTGGCGTTTACTAATAAAAAATAAAGAATTCTGATTGGTCAGATTGATTATTATGTATAAAATAAATAATTTTGATTGGTCAGATTAATTATTATGTATAAGATCTACAATAAAATTTGGCGTTACGGCGCAGTATTGGTCATCCACTATAATAAATAAATTATCGTCAGCATATTAATTATCCTAATATTAGTGAACTCTCCAAAAAGAGAGGAATGGATCATTACATGCTATGTAAGAGAAATTTTCTATATTTAGGAACATTATAATATACATTTAAGATAATAAATTTTTTTACATAGATATGGATGCAATATACAAATTATTTACTTATGCATGTTGGCGAAAATAACAGTGAAACCCAAATCTCGTGTTTTTCAAAAAAAAAAAAAAAGAGCTATGCTCGCGGTGCTTTAAATACTCTGATTAACATGAACGTAAAAAAGAAAGAAAAACACACAAAAACAACCACCGACCACACCAACCAAGTAGTTTTACTGGATTTCCCGGCGTAGCGTCCGAGACGGGTGCCTTCTTTCTTGAGACGATCCAAGTTGCTCCCAAGAACTGATTGTGTTTGGTCTAGTATCTATAGCATTATTACGGTGCGCATTATATGATCAGTCAAAGATTTATCATAATCCAGATAAATAAAAAGAAATACCTTTTCATCTCTTTTGATTATGTCACCAAAAGTGATTGAATTCATTTTTAATCTTTCTGCCATTTTCACCAAATCCTGCGTCAACTCTTCTTGTGTCTGTCGATGATACTGCAGTACTGATTCTATATTTGTGGTTTCCTCTTGATCAAATTTATTTGTCCTGTGTCAAAATGATAATTAAATATAATAGAACATTTCACATATGTTCGAAAGAAATCAAATTTTACCTTCGTTGTCTTATTTCTGATCTGTTAATAGCATCCGATGAAAATAGTTCTAATTTTTCGATATAATAATTTTAACTATATGCGACGAGTGTAAAGTGAATCATGTAAATAGTTCATCAAAAGATTATAAACCTAAACGTTTTTCCTGTGCACTCTTTAAACCTTCAGGCTCATTATTATTATCGTTGGTTTGTGGTGCCTAATATAATATTTATATATTTAATAAAAGTAAACAAAGAATAAAAAACAAAAAAAAGCAAAATAAACCTGAAGTAGTTCCTGTTTTAGTTCTTTTTCCGCCTGACGAACTAACTTTAATTCCAACTCATTTTCCTTATTCTTTTCGTTTTGTGATTGATACGCGTTTTTGGTAAAACGCGCCTGTGAGAATGTACGATTGACTGGAGAAATCTGTTTGTTTATTTATATATACGATTGAGAGTTTTGATCCCATTCCCAAATAAATTCGTGTTTTATTAATATTTACTAGTTTGAATTCATCCACAATATCTGATAAACGTTGGATTTTGCGTGCATATTCGCTTATTGCTGTTTTATCCACATTGCTGGTAAATGTAATGTTTTAGATTAGGTTAGAAAAGCCAATACAATACGCATCATAACGTGGAAAAACATGCCCGAGTAATTTAGACTTACCTGGTCGCATCCATTTCAATTTGCTCCAAAAGATTTTTTAAATGCTTTATATTCTATTTCAGCGAAGCCTTCAGTATTGTGAATCCTAAATGACTAATGACACTCGAAATTTGAAAAACCCTAATTACCGTGACAAATTTCAACTTTTCAGGGCCTCGTATTAGCCCATTTTCATGCGAAACTTGATTCTCACAGACAGACAGTAATCGTCGGAGATTCACCTCAAACTTTGTGGGAATGGTTGTCCTGGGTATTGGCTCTACTGAGGATGGCATTGAAACAAATTAATTGAAGTTCACGCAAAATATTGGTTAATTGGCAACAATAATTTAACAAAATTGTGAACAAATTATTATGGTTTTTCTATAGGCCAATTATAAAATCTTAAAATAGTAATCAAAATGAAAATTTTCAAAAAAGTGAAGCTTGCTTAAAAAAGAACAATGACCGTTAAAAAATTTGCGATCTTCTTCCTTGTGTGTCTCATTTTCGCAACATTACGCATACAATATTCGTCTGCAGCAAAACCACTGCTATTAGATCGTAAATTACGCAAACTTAATGAACAAGTTCAAAAGCACGACGGTGTTGTAGAACTTGATTCTGACCTGTTTGATGAGTTTCTCGCTAAACCACGAAACTACTCGTTCGTCGTTTTGTTGACTGCACTTGATTCTTCTATAAATTGTCATCCATGCAAGTAAGGCATTTTGCTAAATAAGCTTATGCTTGAAGCTTAAAGACAGGCGACTTAAATAAATGATTTGAGAGATTCAATTGATTATTATGTTCAATTTCAGAGAATTCGATCCAGAATTTCGACTGGTAGCTAGAAGTTGGGAAAAAATCGGTACTCCTTCTCGACTGTTTTTCGGAATTTTGGATTATCAGAATGGCAGAGAAATTTTTAATAAGGTGTTCTCACAGATTGATTGTTTATGTTTTTGTGATAAACTTTTTATTGACTCATTTATTTTGTATATAGCTTAAGCAAAACACCGCGCCCTCCCTATGGTATTATCCAGCGATAGAAGGACCTTTTGCCAAAGATGTTTCAGAACCTGATAAATATGATTTTTCTAACAGAGGATTTGGAGCCGAAGAATTTGCATCATACTTAACAAATCATCTAGGAGTTCAAGTACCACTAAAACGACCACCAAACTACTTCTTGATCGTACTTAGTGTATTCTTTTTAATTGGTGCTTTGGCTGCGATAAAGCTGCTTTTCCCATTAGTGAGAGGTGTATTCGAGAGTAAGAATACTTGGGCTGCGATTTCTTTGGTAATTCATGATTGTATTTTATTTGCAAACATGATTTTTGTGTCGATTTTAATCAATGAATTGTTTTAATTCTATGAAAAAGGTTATCATTCTTATGATGATTTCAGGACACATGTGGAATCATATCCGAACACCACCTTACGTGACTACAAATGGCGGCAATATTAATTATATCGCTGGCGGATTTCAGAATCAGTATGGTCTAGAGAGCCAGATTGTTGCCATCCTGTGTAAGATTTGTAATATATAGAAATATTTTATTATTAGAGTTTGGAATGAAGTTAAATTTCTTTTAAAAAAATTATAGATGGATTATGCGCATTTGCTGTCGTTTCATTGACAGTTACAATTCCAAAACTGGAGGATAAGATGAAACAGCGGTTTGCTGTATATGTAAGCTATTTCCTTTTTGTTTCGTATTTTAAATTAATTACTCTATTAATCATTTGATTTTTCATATAGCTTTGGATGGGAATCCTAGTGTCAGTATTCAGTGTCTTGTTCGCGTTGTTTAGAATAAAGTATCCCGGGTATCCTTTCAGGCTATTTCTATAATAATTTCTGCGAAAATTAAAATACATAGATGGAATTTGATCTTGCTGATCGTAATTTATTAGCCGTTTTCAATTTTTTTAATGCAATTTTTTTATGTATATCTTTTGAGCGTACTAAAGATCTAATAACGCGTGTTAAAGTAAAAAATAGAGGAGAAAAGAAAGAAAGAATTTTATTTTTTCAATGAAATTAAGATGTAATTACAGATAATAAAGTTTCACATTAATAATTTAAAAATAGAAGACGCGTAGACGCGTAACTAATCAAGATATCAATATCATAACAGAGAAATAATACCTCCTTTCACCCAACAGAATCAGAAAAAGAAATTCTTTCCTTTCACGACTTATCGTTGAATCTCATTTCCACAATACGGACAGAATCGAAATCGACCTGACACATTAATTTCCTTTTGACAAGAAGGACACGTCCGAATTCCCCAAGTAGGTAAAGGCGCAGGTTGTTGAGTCATTTCTTCTTGCTCAATCTGTCGAATTCTTTCCTCATCCGGACGATTTTTCTCAGTCCAATGACAATTCTCGCAAACCCATAACGTTTTTTTGCCGAATGACGCGATTGGCATGAAAAAGATTGTGAGTTCTTGTTCCGAGAGATATTGATGCATTGTTGGAGTACGGTCCAAGCAATTTGGACAGCGTGCTGAAAGAGAGGTTGGTAGGCGCTTGAGTTTTGGAGCAAGACCACCTAAATGAGAGTAAAACAATTCTTAATCCAATTTCCACCATTCAAATTAACAACAATTCGCACGTCTGTAGCAATACAACTTATACTCACCAAAGAAAAAGAAAAACATGATTGTTAGGTAAAAAAAAGAAAGGTATTATTAAAGTGTCTTGCTTCTTTAAAAAATACGTTTCTTGTTTTTACGTATAATGGTGAAGAGAAGGAGGCGAGTCGTGACGCGCTTGAGTTTTTAATTTTTTTGAAGGTTAAAAGAAATAATGGACCTAATTGTTATCCTTTTATTTATTTTACTTTGTCAAATGAGCAAAGACAATTAAACAGAGGAAGGAAAGTTATTACATGTATGAAATATCATCATCATCATAGTTTATGTGTCATTTTATGTAATAAAAACGCGTTATTCGTCGAATAATTAATTGGTTAAGGAAATTGCATGGATTTACCTATCAACTACCTGTCTTCTTGGTGTTCATTTTTCAAGAAAAATTTACAACTACCATATTTCAAAATGTATGACTTCGACTAAAAATCATTGCATTGCTTGAATCAAGCAATGTAAAGTAACTTTTCTTTTTTACTTTTCAGGTCTGAATTTTGGGTATCCCAAGCAAAACACTGGTGTCAATATTGTCGAATTTACATTGCAGATAATAAACCTGTTAGTAACTAATTAATGTTTCGATGTTATTTAACTATCTATCTTATCGAATATATTAATATAATTTGAAAAACATAGAGCCGTTCAATGCACGAAAGCGGAAGAAAGCATAAAGAAAATGTCGAAAAATTTCTACGAAACATTTATCGCCATGAAGAAGAAACTAAGAAAGAGGATGATAAAGTGAAACGAGAGTTGCAAAGAATCGAGCATGTAAATATAATATAGTTTTTATTCGTTTTAATATTTTTCTAATTAATTGAACGATTTTAAACAATAGGCTGCAATGAGACAATATAAAAAAGATGTAGGCTTAGCAGAAACGGGTGCATCTCTTAATACATTACGGTCTGCGATTGATAGTGCTGTGGCTAGTGCCCCACCTCCATCTACTGATGAACGAGAAGCATATTATAAGACATCGTTACCTTCATCTTCAACTTTACACTATTCAAATACTGTTGCTGCTACTGCATCAGAATCGGATTCATTAGTAACAGTAACATCAATAGAAACAACAGAGGTAATGACAGAAGATTCTCAGATAGCAATTGTAGCTCCTCCAAATAAACCAGAAGATCGAGGTGATGGATCTGAACCTGTAATAGGAGAGTGGAGACCGGTTACTCCACCACCACTGCCATTACCAGTATCAACAGATGCAACAGCAGCTTCTTCGAAACAAGGAGGAAAATCCGATGATAAAACCAACAGTAGTTATATTCCATCTATAGAAGAATATGAAGAAGAGGAAGATGATCCAGATAATTTATTGAATTTTAAAGTAGTAGAGAAAACATTACCAATTAATAACGACAAGAGTATTGCTGTTGAAAAAGTTACTTTGAAAAAACGGAAAATTGACAAAGGAGGGAAACAACCAAAAAAGATTCGTAAAAAGTCTTATGACTAGAAAAAATAATTATTAAAAATAAACAATTGGCAATCTTTATCTCAGTGATATTATCAAGAAAAGTAAAAAAAAAAGAATTCAGCTTTTCTATTACCAGTAACTACCTCGCCCCATCTTTAAAGTCTCGACAGAATTCAGGCAAGTTTTTTCATCAATTATTTGCATTCAGAGTTTTTTACCTTTCTCAAGTTTATCGTCTCCATTGATAAAAATAAATAAAGTCACGCGTCTAACATGCAAATTGAGACTGTACCCTTTTCTTCAAGTTATAGGACCTAGTATTTGTACCTATTCACTAAATACATACTTGTATTCATTGAAGGATGATGCACTAGGGAATTTTTAGATAATTAATTTATTTTCTCTTTAAATATTTTTAGGTATTGATAACAATACGAACTAATAAACATTTTGTATTAATTTTAAATTTTTATGAATTTAGAGTAAAAGCATTTTTATTCCAATTTAAATTGCTTAAATTATATTTTATAATACCAAGATTACATCAAAATCTTATTAACAAACCTATTAAAATCATAAAAATACAAATTCATCATAAAAAATAAAGCCACGTGCTATTTAAAATTTTATTTATTAATCAAATTGTGTAAATAAGATTCTACCATAAATTTTACGAGAAATGTCTAGCAGCATCCCCCCAAATCCTACGCTTTACGTTAGGAATTTGAATGAAAAGACACCAAAAGAAGGTCAGCATCGAGAATGATCAAATTGGTGCTTTCTCTAACGCGATTACGAATAATTAATTTAATCAAGATTCTTTGCGAATTATCAGAACTGAAACGTTCTTTATATGGGTTGTTCAGTGCATATGGACGTATATTGGATATTGTCGCCTTGAAAACGATACGGATGCGCGGTCAAGCATTTGTTGTATTTAAAGAAATACAGAGTGCGACAGCGGCGATGAGAGGTTTGAACGGATTTATGTTTTATGATAAGCCAATGGTGAGTATTGTATATCAATTGATTAAATTATTCGTGGCGAATCTTGATCATCGTCCAAATGGATGATGGCTAAAGCATTATTCTACTATACATAATTACCATTTTTATTAAAATATTAAGTCTGATAAACTGTCTGATATCACTTTTCTTTCCTTTTCTTGTTTGGCCTTTTAATCAAGATCGAAACCAGACAAAAACGAGGATTATTTTAATATTTTATTGTTAACCTCAAACTATTCTTTAATATTCTTTATGATTGATTCTTTATAAAATTCTGATAATTATATTTTTCTGGTCTCTCCATCACGTTTTGTTGGATTTCTCATTTCAGCATATTGAGTATGCAAAAACTAAATCAGATGCAATTGCAAAGCTTGATGGCACATGGAAGAAGTCATTAGCTGCCACTTCTACCGAAAAAACTGCGCATCCCACTCTAGCTTCAATACCAGCAAGCGCTCAAACTACATCGAAAAGAGGGCTTGAGGATGAAGGTTTGATTGATCACTATTTCTTATTTTAACTGTAATTCCCAAATAGAATTTGAATTAAATTTATTCGATCCATTTTACAGAATCGCAGAAAACAACCAATGGAAGACAGAAGCAACGAGAATCTGTTTCTCCTCCTTCAGGTGAACATTGTCCCCTTATTTCATACAATTTTTTTTGAATTATTGAGCTTGAAAATGAACAATAATAAATTATACAATAATTAGTGAGAATGGAAGAAGACGAAGAACAGGAGGCAATGATATCACGGGGAGAACCTGAAGCACTAAATAGAATATTATATATAATGAATTTACCTCCTGATGTCACAGATGAAATGCTGAGTTATTTATTTCAACAGTAAGTTGACATTTTACATAGCGTATCGTATTCTCCTGGGAATAAGCATCGGTTTTTTCATAATTTTAACGTAATTTTATTCTTTAAATAGGTACCCTGGCTTCAAAGAAGTCCGACTTGTTCCCGGAAAATCTGATATTGCATTTGTCGAATACGAGACAGATCATCAAGCAGCTGTGGCTAAAGATGTCTTGAATGGATTCAAAATTACGCATGATAAAGAGATGAAAGTGACATTTGCTAAAAGATGAATGTTAATAAAGGAATGAAGGATTGAGTAGATGGTTGAGTAGACAGGGTAAGTATAGATCCGGTTTGAGTATTATTAATATTATTATTTTAATATATACTTTTGGAGGAAGATTTACTACACTTGTTCTCGAGAGAAAATGAAAAGAAACATTTTTTGTTTTGTTGTGTACATACATGAATAAAAGGCGTCAGCTCCCATTGTTTGGAATGATTGATGGAAAATGAATTCATGAAATAAACATTTTTTTGTGTATTTATCGATTCTTTTTTCTTCTTTGTCACTAAAAACAGGTTTTTATTTATTTTGATTTTTATTTTTATATTTAGTATTATTTATATAGAAAAAAATGATGAACCGACACTTAATATAGGCAAAATTGAATAATCACATTGAATGAAGTATCCAAAAAAAAACTACTAGGTCAAATCAGAGCAAGGATATAATTTTTTTGACAATATTCACGGTTCTGAGAAAGCAAAGTTTATTCACATATATCTCTATATATAATACTAATGAATAATGTTTTTTTTTACCACGAGAAAATTTTGTATTATTCTATAATGACGAATATTTTCTCATTCTTCGCCATCTTTGATTCTTTGCAGCTCGTCACGAAATTCAGCTAATCGTTCAATCTTTTCCAGTTGATCTGAATTCAAAGATTCCCCAGTTTCTTGACGTTGCACGAGTTGTTCAATTTGTCGAATTTTTTTCTCCAAAGCTTTTGTACGTTTTTTTAATGCTTCCATTTGTGAGATTGTGATGACAACTTCCGAAGATGTTTGTTTTGTAGATTGATTTTCTGTTTCTATAGAATTCGATGAAGGCGAACCTTTTTGTGTGTTGACAATGCTTGAGGTAGCAGAAGCTTTGACGGATGTCATTGGTTCAATTGAGAGGTTTTCTAATTTTTGTGATAATAAATCATCCATATCAATATTTTTTTCTTCATTATCAGCAAAACTTGATCCACTTTCCTCCTCGAGACTCTTTTCACGTTTTTCTTGCCTTTTAGCTTTTCTTTTTTCATTCTTTATTTGTGCTTTGGTTTTAGGGGCTGCAACCTCTGACCGTTTTTTATTCAAGGTTGTTTGTTCAATCGCAGCAACTCGGACATTCTTATAACGTTGCACATCTTCAAGTGGCACAAAGCCTTCTCGTACACGACGTTCTGGACGAAGTGAGCCATCTGCTCGGCGCGTAGCTGGTATTATTCGCTCATTGTTTGAAGTTGTTATAATTCCAGCGAGTGAAGGTGCTGAAGAAGAGCGACTCGAGCTATCCGACATTTTTTATTTGTAAGTAGAAAATAGAATTGATCTACGTTTTGTATGGATTCTGTAACATGATGTCATAGCGATCAAAATTTTGATTTGTATATATATATATACAATTCATGTAATTGCTATTTGCGAACAAAAAAAGAACTCTAACGAGAATAAGAATGGCAACACATCCTTCACCAGCAGAATTCGCGCGTGAAAAACACGTGTCATACTTAAAAACATGTTTAGAGATATTACCGCATGAATACGAGTCTTCTGATACGAACAGGTTAAACTCACAAAAAGATTCATGGTTGAATTATGGCATTTATCTGACTTTGCTTTGATATGGAATTAGAATGACATTCGCGTATTTTTGTTTATCGGGCTTGGAACTTTTAGACGTCCTAGATTCTACGCTGACCCCTGAAAGAAGGCGTGTGTGGATAGATTGGATATATGCACAACAGATATTGCCGAATTTGGATAAGCCAGGTTTGCAACGAAATCATGTCTGTTTTATTAAGTAACTGCGAAACTGGAAGCTTTTGGGTTTATAATTGATTTTTATCATACGGTAAAATAATAGCAGAGAATGAGCAACTTTGTGGCTTTAGAGGCTCGCCGTTTTCCGGATCCAAGTTTGATGTTAATGGGGTAAGTTTAAAATAGAACTGCAAAATCTTCAATCCATGCTTGTTTAATTTTTCTACTCATAAATACAACTTTTACAGGTAAGGGATGCTCAATTACCCGTTGATGCGGCTAACCTTGCAATGACCTACACTGCGTTATGTTGCCTATTATTACTGAAGGATGATTTATCTCGTGTGAATCGACCAGCAATTATCAACGCATTACAATATTTGCAGAATGAGGATGGCAGGTTGTTTGTTGTTACTCACAAATTTCGAATTATCATGCGTAATCTCTGACAACAATTGATGTTGAATTTTGGTGATCTTCTTTCCCTTGGAGTTTCTCGCAAACTTATCAGAGCATGGAATCCGATATACGATTTGTGTATTGTGCGTGTGCCATCTCGTACATCTTAAATGATTTCAGTGGATTCAATGTGGCAAAGGTTTTGGACTATATTAAAAAAAGTCAGGTATTAACATTTTCATCAAATAACTTGTTATACCGTCTCACTTTATCTCATTCCTGGTCGTTTAATTCTTCGTAAGACATATGATTACGGAATAGCTCAATCGCCAGATCAAGAATCACATGGTAATCGAAAAAAAAAATGTTTGCGCATCTATTTATTATCAATGTAAATAGATAGTATATATGTTTGAAACATTTGTATGTAGGTGGCTCCACATATTGTGCAATCAGTGCCCTTCGTATTCTCAATCGTATTGACGAAGGATTATTGTCAAAAGACAAAACAATTTTCTGGTGTCTTTCTAGACAAATATCCGGATTTCAAGGGAGACCAAACAAACCTCCAGACACGTGTTATTCATTCTGGATTGGGGGTGCTCTTAAGGTAAAAGATTTTTATTCTTCAATGCAAACAGACACTGTTGTTTCTTTCTACAATAACTGACGATATCATTATGCAGTTATTGGGTGCATTTGATTTGATTGATTTCGATTCAAATCGTACATTCTTGTTGACCACACAGTCAAGACATGGGGGATTCTCAAAGTGGCCTCCAGAATTAAACAGATTTGCTGAATGGATAAAGTATCCTTCAGGTAATCAAATTTTTGCGCCGATTTTGAACTGTGAATTATTGATTAACGAATGCATTTCGTGATTATATAGATCTATTGCATACTTATATGGGTATAGCGGCACTTTCACTAATGAGAGAACCAGGATTGGTGGATTTAGATCCGGCGATTAATATTTCAAAACGAACAATTGATCGATTGATAAATGAAAGTGTCTTTTGGAGAGAATGAATGAATCTTTTACTTGATACATCATTCATCGACTTCGATTCATCCTTTCGGATCTTAAGATCTGGATAACTGGTGATCGTTTATTTGTTCCATCAATGTATTGGCAATTGAATAGCTTTAATAATAACTATAATACAATAATCGAGCTTGTAAAAAAAAACTATTTTTATAACTCGATTCGGTCATTTGCAGACCTTCTAACTTGTAATGACTACAGCGATAGCATATCCGTGTCACAACAATGTATCGGTTATTTCTTGGTTTCCAATTTGGCAATGACGCAAAAGAATGTGCATTTTACATGAATCTCCACGAATCAATATTCGAAAAAATGCATATTTATTATTTATGTATACAGTAAAAATATATATTTTGCGATTCATTCGTTCCTTCACTTTATATGTATGCGTATTGCCGAAATCGCCATCCATTATTGTTCTACCACCAATTAACATTAAAATACCGCCCCACAAATCATAACTACATGATTGTTGATACAAAGATATTTATATGAATCCTACCTATCTACCTACCTAGCCACCCGCTCGGTCACTATTCATTATGCATTACTATCACCGCCAATTCATTCTTTTTTCTATCTTTCGACTATCGTCCCTCTTTTTTTCACATGCATGTGCACGTATGACCATCATGTCTGACAAATGCAACCAAAAATAAAATAAATGATCAAACTAATAATAATGTTGGAAACAAGTAAGAAGTCGGCGTTATTGTTGTATTTGTTTATGCTAATTTGATTTAATCGTGTTCACCCCTTTTATCTGGGTAAAATTATCGAAACGTTAAGAGAAGAATAATATCCAATAATAGTGATGAAAACCAATAGCCAAAAAATGAATGAATGGTACGCTGCTGTCAAGCTCTTCGATCCCGGTTTTAATTTAATTCCGAGTAACATCCTCCTCCTCTTCCAAAATCCAGCAAGCCAAATAAAATATCTTCATTCAAGGTAAAATTATAAAAATAAAAATTTCCCAATAAAATGATATAAAATCAAAAAATGATATACATGATACAAATAAAAGATAGTAAAAATGATATAATGGTAAATTAATAGATACAAAAGGAAAGGTATCGTATAAGATGAAACAAAAAAAAAGAGAGGGGATAATTATAAATATATATAAATATATATATATATATATATATTAATGATGAAATAAAATAAAATAAAATAAAATAAAATAAAATAAAATAAAATAAAATAAAATAAAATAAAATAAAATAAAATAAAAGGATAATAGGATAATAATAGGACTGATGAATATATAAATGGTTGATTGGTAAAAAGAGGAGGACGTCAAAAAATTAGATATATAATATTTGACAAATTTAGCTCGCATTGCTAATAGAAGAAAAGATGGAAACAAAGATAGCAGCACTAAAGAGTAGACAGAGAGAGGTATAGTGATAATGGCGATAATGGTAGAATAGAATAAATAAAGGATTCTCAATTAAATTTGACCAACATTAAAAATTACCCACAATATAATAATAACGTGAGTCATCAATTATTATCATCTACTATTGCATCGTCTCTCAAGATTTTATATATATATATTGTGCGAGTATATGTATGTATGTGTGTATGTATGTATGTGTGTATGTATGTATATGTGTATATATATATGTATAATATAGCAATTTAATCCAAGTGATAATATATATAATTGAATAATACAAATTTATTGAAGAGCTGTTATGTTGGTTATTGATTATGTAGAAGAAGTAGAAAGATCCTTGTGTGTGGTGATTATTGAAAGATGGACAGTCGATTGATGGTGCAGACAGATAGAGTCTTTATTAATTTAAACTAATAATAATGATAAGAATAATAATAATAATAGGAATAATAGGAATAGGGATAATAAGAAAATGATAAAGATAAATAATAAGAATAATTATAATTATAATTCCCTGAAAAAATAGACTCTTATTAAAATTTATATCATGTGTAAAAATTTCAACAAAGAATTAATTTCTAACCTATTCCATTTTTTCACAGCTCCACATGGAAAATGATTCCAGAATTTAGTAATTAACATTAATGATTATTCTTTTTATGGATTATCATTTATTCCATTGATCTCATTTGTCTCTTTAGCCCCCGCCGCAAGTTCATTCATCACTTTTGGACTTGTCCCTCGTAGAGTCTCCGCAATTAATGGAGTATCAAATGGACTTGGACTTGGAGGTCTCAACATGTCCAATTGATTGTTAATAATATTGTTGCTATTAGAGGAGGCGGAGGATGATCTTTTATGTTTTTCGATAGTTTCGAGAAGACTAGGAGCCCAAGGACCACCATCCGAGTGCTCATCATCATATGATTTAATGCCATTTTCAGCAAGGATTGTTGGTATCTCATCAGATGCCAGAGTATCTAACACAGGCGGAATTGCTATATCAATAGCTTCGGGAACACTCAAATGGTCATGATACTCAATATCTCGTTCAAATATCATTGAATTCCGTGATGGTGTTGGACTTGGGGTCCGGAAGCCATCAACCGAAATACCATATTCAGTGGATGGACGGGGACTTGTTGGTGAGCGACTGCGTGTTGAATTTTCACTTAAGCTTTTTGTGGAATTCCTGCGAGCAAATGCGGCAAATAGTGATGGTCGTCCATTTTTTACACTTTTGAAACTGGGTGTTGGGCTGGCTGGTGGTGGTGCTTGTGGATCGTCTTCTGCCATTGAATGTATGTTTTAAAATAATGTGTATTTTTTTTGATTTTACGTTTTCGATTTTTATGTGATGATTTGTTTGTTAAAATTAGTTTGAAATTTTGAAGCAAAAAAAAAACCAGGAAAAAATAATCATGAAAACAAAAGTATGGGATAAAATGTGTTTGTATATTAATTAATATTTATAAGAGTCTCGGTCCCTCTTGGCGTATCAAATTGTGTATCCAAGCACAAAAAGAAGACTACAACTTGACCCTTAATAAAATCATAAAGAAATCTAATCAGCCCCCCTTGCACACAAATTTTTACTCTAGGAAATATACATAATCATCATCTCGGCTGGACCTTTCATTCAACAAAGTGAAAAATAGAAAACTCTCAAGCAAGTAATAAACTTGAAAGAGAGAGATTATTTTGGTGTTGAAATAAGGGCAAGAATATTTTGTCAAAGAAAAAGAACTATAAAAAAATGACTGAACTAATAATTCGAATTAACCGATTAAAAAGTAAAGAAATGCCATAAAGCTTTTTGCCTTATTTCATACCTGGAGCACTATTGTAACCGAGGTGTGAGGGCTTTTTATCTTTTTGCCTATAATTCCAGGTCATTATTTTACGTATACCAGGTCGTTTTGATGGTTGTTGTCCATTAGTTGTGGTGGTTGAACTCTTTTTTGTTGTCTGAAGAGGTGTTGCTGTTGACATTATTCCTTCTTTATATATAGTGTCTTTATTTGTCTGGCTGTCTGTATTTTCGAATTTTGAGATGCGCAACTGACTGACTAATAAACAAATAGTAACACTTTAACTATTTAATTTAAGAAAGTGATTTTTTTAATGATGCGAATAATAATAGCGAATAATAATAGTAATAGCAATATAACCCCCATAGTAAAATAGTGTGATGTGTTACCTCAAAATTAATCAGCTGACAGATTAGCTCATCTAAAGACATCCGATATATATATATATCTATTACTTTAAAGGATTTGCATCCAAACACTTTAAAGTGTTGGATGTATAATACGAGTACGTATCGCATTTCCTAATTTTCCTCCAGGTTTCTGATTGGATGCAAGTAATCTCCATCGCTGATTGGTTGACTGCACACCGGGTTTTCTAAATTAACACATAAATTTTTGATCAACCCGGCAAACAAATCTGGCACAAGAAAACTAAAAAGGCGAATAATGTGAAAACGAATGGGTAAACCTGGCTCGAAGCACCAATAAAAAATGTCGGGAAGACAATTTTATTTATAACCTAATATCCTCAACCAATTGACAAAGTTTATCGAACCTAATTTCAAATTTCCTAATCTGTAATTCATCCAATAGGAGTGCGCAAATAAGAATGAACAAATTTCTGATCGGCCCGCCAAAACAAATCCAACTCAAAGAGATGAAAAAAGTGATATTACGAGAAACCTGATGCATGAATCTGCTTTGGACTATTAATTAAAAATGTCGGGAAGGAAATTTTACATATAATCTTGTGCTATCACCCAATACCTTACCCTTACCATGACTCTAGTCGGATGTAATGAAAATTCAGAATCCAAATTAGGAAATTTGAAATTGGGTTTGATAAAATTTGTCCAACCAATCAGAAAATTAGTAAATGTGTACGTATCATATGGTTTAGTCACAATCTCGAAATCATACAGCGTCGCGAAAATCTTCGCATTCATTTGGAATTATGAGGATCAAGATTATGCATTGCTTTGTTATGAACTTCTCTATAATCACATTCTTACAAACGTGGTCGCATTTTTGAAGGAATTATCTCGGTCACGTTTTTTTACACACTTTCGGTCAACGATAATTTTAAATGTTTTACGAATTTTGAATTTTTATTTCTAGACAAATAAAACCAAAAAAAAGAAATAAAAGAAAAGAGTTTTAAATACAATAAATAAAAAGAAAAGAAAATCAAAAAAATCGAATTTTTACGTATATATATAAAGGTTATTTTACATTTTTTTTGTATATGGTTTTCTTTTATAATAACGAATTGTAGCAGTGTGTATGTAAGGATCTGACTTCTTCGAGATTATAAGAGCACATTTATTAATATAGGTTCTCTAAATAAAAATAAAATATGTTTTTCTTCTTGATTTATTGGCAAAACAACAAATAGAATTGGAGTGAGTGAGGGAGGGAGGAAATATTTCTTCTTCAGGATTTATTTAAAAGCATTTATTTAGTTAGATACACGGAAACGCGTGCGATCTTAATATCGATATAGATCGTCGAAAATCGAAAAATAAAAAAATAAATAAATAAATTCGCGCGAATTTAATACGTTTATTTGAGTTGGGTGAATCAGATTAAATAACGAGTTGATAATCGAAATAATAAGAATCTTTATAATATAATTTTGTTGCTTCTTCTGAATAAAAAAAATTTTTTTATTGTTTTTTCTTAATTTGGAATTATGGTTGAGAAAGTAAAATAAAAAAAGAAAAGTTCATTAAAATTGGGGTGGTGGTTATTTTTTTACGGATATTGTTTGGATGAATTATGTAATAACAAAAACGAAGACGAAAAATAAAAAAGAATGACTATGTTTATATATATACTATAGATAGAAGGATAATTATATACGAATAAGAATAACAATAATATCATGACGAGAAATTATTCGAATCATTTATTAACGAAAGAGGATGAATTAACATTATCTAACCCTGTCAAAGAGAGATTTCATATTATTCCATTAAAGAAAAGGTGGGCAAGTTCTTAAAAAAGAGAATTAATGGCTATAATAATTCGGGATTGATGATGGACTTTCTTTAAAGAAATAAAAGAAACCTCTTATATTTGATTAAGTATTCATTAATATCATTGCATTTTATATTCGTATAAATCTCATCCTAAATGATTGATTGTCGGTTTTTCCGTGATCGTTTTGTTTTCGAGTTATTCGTCGTAATAATCCAAATAACATTCCATTTTTGAAAGAATTTTTAATTTTTTTTGTTAGTTTAGATATTTTCTACATTTTTTTTAGGTTTTTAGAATTATCTTGTAAAAATAAAAGTTTCTTCTTCTTCTGTGGATGGTCAAAATACGCGGGAAATGGTTGTTTAAATAGCAAAAAAAAAAAGCAAGATTCAATATGAGATCGATCAATAAGGTTCTGGGAAGAAAATATTTACACGTGCAAGATGGTGAGATCTTCGCCAATTGTCGAAAATTGTCTCGAGAAAAGAGACAAACAATTGATTTATATTATGATGTTTTAATAATTCAATGAAAACTGGTCATCTGCTCGAGTCCTGGCTGAAAAACAAATGGGTAATATAATAATTATATTATTAAGGGAAAAGAATCAAGAAGAACGAAAAGAACGACGATGTCGAGTTTATTATCTTCTTTGTCTAAAACATTAAGTGATTATCAATTATTATAATAAGTTAATAGCAAATATTATAACTTGTCGTTACCCTTGCCAATAGCCACAACAATGGAATGTAAAAGTTCAATGCTGTACTCTCTCAGCATTGTACTATGCTTTGCCGTCGATGATATTACGAGGAATATACATGTATTCAGGTCAACCAATTGAAAAATTAACACAATCAGCTTTCCTTCATTGTTCTTCGGTGTAAAAGTAAAAAAAACCTATTGCATGACTCATTATTCTTCACGCTTGATTTATTACGAGGTTAACTGATTTCTTGGTTCGATATTTTTGAACACTATGCACGAAACTTCTCATTGTTTCGTCAAAATGATGATGATGGTGATGATTATGGTGATGATTATGTCAGAAAGAATTAACAACGTCCCGTTCTTCAAAATTAAGTTTCATTGTTGAGAAAGAAAGAAACGAAGTTCATTATTATTCAAGAAGTTTATTGTCGCCGTCAAATTTACCGTATACCACGACATGATTAATTGTTCTCAACCAAAATTTTCTTAAATACTTATGCATATAGATAGATATACCGATATCGATATTAATACGTACAAGAATAGAAATAAACGGTTATTTGTCACAGCAACAATTAATTCCATTGTTGTTTTTTTAAAATGAGTGTATGTAATACATATATTTTTACTATAAACTAGTTGCTGCTATTGTTTGTTCAATTGTTATATTGTTTCCGAAATTGGAAGTGATGAATTGATTTTGGTATACAGACAAATATGTTGGCGCAATCCATAATTCTTTTTTTCGATAATTCAGTGTGTTGAGCAAAACAAATTTTATTCCTAGATCTTTTTAATTATCTTGAGAGACTCATTCCTCCGGGTATCATATAAAAAACAGTTAAAAAAACCCCCCAAAATACTATGTTTTTGAGTTATTTGAAGTAGAAGTGTCCCAATGATATACGTATGATGCGATTTACTACCTCTCTTTGCATCCTTTTCTAAATAAAGCGATGCTAATATTTTTGTTATTTTCGAGATCATCTTTTGCATTATTTATAAAACTGTATTCTTCTAGAAAATGTGTATAACCATGTATCATTACCTTCATCGAATTAATCAATAAAATGACTATTTTTGCATTTTACATTTTGTTAAATTCATCATTTTTACAATATGCATCAGAATTATGATTGATTTATCGATTGATTGAAAATATAACAGAGAGACGATGCAAGGGCAAGGGACAAAACCATTCATTCTTTTCTTATAAAAAAAATGAAAGTTTTGATTTCTATTTTCCATTATACTAAAATGAATTCTCAAATGACGGCTTCAAACAGTAACAAAAATTCAGAAATCACTAAATCAAAGAAATCAAGAGCTAAACCTGTTTCAAAGTCAATCAAAGTAAATTAATAACTCCCTTTTTTACAATTTCGTCATCTTTTCTTAAATTCCGATCTCTCTCACGTATACACAGGCTGATTTAGTATTTCCGGTCGGCAGAATCCACCGCCACTTAAAACGAGGCCGATACGCATCACAAATCCGAACAACGGCTGCAGTATATCTAGCAGCAGTATTAGAATATCTTTGTGCTGAAGTATTAGAATTAGCTGGAAACGCAGCAAGAGACAATAAACGAATACGTATTATTCCGAGGCATTTGCAATTGGCAATTAGAAATGACGAAGAATTGAACAAGTTGTTGAAAAGTGTTATTATTGCCCAGGGTGGTGTGATCCCACATATTCATAAAGAATTATTGCCGAAAAATAGAGAGGATTTTCAAGATAATGGTATTAAATTACTTTTTGGTTTTTTACAGTTTGAAGAAAGCTATACTAATAATTTTGTTTTGAAAAACTAGTAGACGAGAATGAAAATGCGCAATGAAAAGTTTTTACATACCTTTATTTCTATTTTATAGAATATAAACCTGTACCTCAGAAGTTTTAATATTTGCTGTTCTTACATGTTAATGAGCTTAAAGACATGTTTTAATGAGAGAAAATACATTGATTTTGGGAAAGATCTCGAACTTCTTTTTCTTACTGATTCAATTTTTAAATATTGCAAATCAACAAAACCGAAGTCACACAGTCAGGTCCAAGGTTTTATTATGAATGAGGTGATTTTATTATAGGTTCTTGAAGAGTGCGATTATAGCAGGGTTTTATATGACGTGACTATAGTTGGGGTGACTATAGAGGGGTTTGACTGTATTGATTATAATTTGAAGCCAGGAATTCTTGACGATAAATATTGTACATTTCAATTTTAGATGTTGCATGTGTTGACCTGCACAGAAAGATTATTGGATACCATTATAAAAGATCATTTTAAGTGTTCTTTATTTTATGTTAGATATAATATATATGTATATATATATATAAAGTAATCAAATAAAAAAAGAAAAATGAAGATTATGATAAAAATGTCAAAACCTGGCGTCCAGGGAAAAAGACATCTTTAGACTCTACTTTTACATGTAGAATAATAGGTCATAAAAGCAATGATATTAAAAGATAAGAAGAAAGCGAAAATGTTAAACGTTCCGAATTTTTTGGGGAGTATTTGAAATACTTGGTTTCCAGAGTCTATTTGTGATTCTAATGTGATTTTCGTGATACTTAAACGCGTTATTTTTACCTTTTTTTGCTTCTTGCTTTACTTTTTTTAGAGTTTCTCCGTTTATTGGTAATTCGTATAATTGTTGTTCGAGATGAGCGATATCTTCAGGAGAGAGTAGAGGTATAGAAGATCTTTTCGTTTCAATAGACTTTTGTATGATTGTTAGATTTCGAATGTAACTATTTTTAGTTTCTTCAAGTCGATTCAGGAATTCGTTGTTATAATTAAGAGGATTTTCGCTTTTTATACGTTTTTCTTCATTTATAAAAAGATCCAAATAATCAGCATACGCATCATTAAAAGGAGCTAGCGCATTTTCTCGCAAGAATTGAGCAAATTTTAGACTAATTCCTTCGATTATTTCCTTTTCTTTTTCCAGTTGTATACGTCTTGCTTCAAATTGTTCTAAAATTGCTTGTTTTTTTTCTTGATAAGTTTTATTTTCAGAAATTTGCTTTTTAATTTTTGGATCAAAGATATTTTTTATTACTATTTTATTCTCGTAGTTGATAAACATATGTTTGCTCCAGTGACACTTACAGACTTTACAATTGCCAGATGAATTCATAGCAAAACATTCTTTCAAAACTGCATTATTTATTACATTCTGTTTAACATTGTCTAAATAACAGTGTGGATGACAATGTGTTATGTAGTCTGTTTTATAGATATTAAGTTGTTCGATTTGTATTGTTTTGACACATCCAGCACTTGTGCATACAGTTCTCGGATATGGCAATCTTATTGGTGCAAGATCTATTTGAGGAATATATAATTTGCTTTCGAGTTGCATCGTAGTTTCGCTAGATTCTTTTATCTCCATTTGT